TATCTTTAAGAGAATCACAAGGTGGCAGAGTTGCTTGAGCCAAGTAGATAAAAAAATAGATATAATACTTTCTTAGGCTTTTCAAGTAAGGGTCTCTGATGGGGGAGTTGGTGCCTTCTTAGAGAGAGAAAATATTTGAGATCTGGAAAGACGAAATGCCAAAAGTGGACTTTAATATTTTATTGCATTTGAATTTTTTTTACTCTAGTTAAAAACTCAAATAGAATGAAAATATTCCATGTGAATGAATAGTCTAGTCACAGTAAAATTATCATTTTACTGAATATGTGTTCCTGAGTAAGAGTTGAGATATTGCCAACAATTCCAAACATTATAGTTTATTAAAAAAATCTATTTTGACTTTCAACAAACATTTATGGAATAGCTATTATGTATCAGACATTGGGAAAGAGCTCCCAACCACCTTCCACTTCTGTTTTTCATTGTTTATCACTCTCTCTTTAGACTAGAATTAAGATATAAAGAGCCCTTTTGTCAGATTTTAAAATTCATTTACTTGCAAGTTACATTTAAAAAAATTGTATTTGAGATGGCTGTAAGTTTTAATACTAGTGATATATATATAAAAAATGCTTATTGTTATGACATTTAAATAACAATTCATAATTTACCTAAATAAAGCTTTTTATTGTTGTAAAATATACATAAAACTTAGCATAAGCGACATTTAGTACCGTCACCATGTTGTGTAACCATCACAACTAATTAGTTCCAGAATATCTTCCTCACCTGGAAACTCCTTACTTACTAAGTGGTCACTCCTCACTGCCTCTTCCTCCCAGTTGTACAGCACCACTTGTTGGAGACTAATCTTTTTCTGTTAAATAGTCTTGCCATCCTTGTTGAAAATCAATTTATCATAGTGCATTTATGGATTTTCTATGTTATGCTATTATGCCATTTTATGTTTATCCTTAACATCAGCACCACACTGTTTTGATTACTGTAGCTTTGTAACAAATTTTGAAATCGGAAAATGTGACTCTTCCAACTTTGCACTTTTTCAAGATTGTTTTGGCTCTTTTGGGTCCCTCCAATTCCATATGAATTTTAGGATCAGCTTTTCTAATTTCTGCAAAAAAAAAGGGCCATTAGGTTTTTGATAGGGATTTCACTGAATCTGTAGATCAGCTTGGGGAGTATTTCCATCCTAACATTATTAACTCATGAACATGGGGTGTCTTTACATTTATTTAGGTCTTCTTTAATTTTTTTCAGCAATTTTTAGTTCTTTTCAGTGTACAAGACTTGAACCTCCTTGGTTAAATCTATTTCTAAGTATTTTGTTCTTTTTGATGCTATTATAAATAAAATTGCTTTCTTAATTTTTTTTTCAAATTTTTTTCGCCAGTGTATAGAAATCAACTGCCATTTGTGTATTGATGTTTCTATTGTAACACTAATGAACTTATTAATTCTAATAGTTTTTTGGGGGGTTTTTTAATATACAGGATCATATCAGCTGCCAATATAGTTTTACTTATTTCTAATTGGGATTTCCTTTATTTTTCTTGTGTAATAGCTCTTGTTAGACTTTCTGGTAAAATGTTGCTTAACAGTGATGTAAGTATTTTCTGATCTTAGAGGAAAAGCTTTCAATCTTTTATTATTTAGTATGTTGTTGGCTGTGGGTTTTTCATGAATGCCTTTTGACAGATTGAGAAAATTCTATTTTCTTCCTAGTTTGCTGAGTGTTTTTACTGTGAAAGGGTGTAAGGATTTGTCAAATGCATTTTCTTACCTTTTGAAATGTTATTTTTCTCTTTATTCTATTTTTAATAACAAAGAGCTTTAGTTTCATGTTGTTGTTCTAGAATCTAGCTGTTGCTCTCTTCATTCTATTAATGTGGTATATTGCACTGATTGATTTTTGTTTGCTGAACCACTCCTGTACTCCTGAAATAAATTTTAGTTTGTCATGGTGTATAATTTTTGTCTAGTCTTGGTATCAAGGTAATGCTTGCTTTATGGAATGAATTAAGAAGTGTTCCTCCTCTTCTTTTTTGGGCAGAAGTGTTTAAGAAGAATTGGTGTCAATTCTTTAAATGTTTGATAGAATTTCTCTGTGAACCCATCTGGTTCTGTACTTCCTTTGTAGGGAGATTTTTTTTATTATTGATTCAATCTCTTTAGATTTTTTTATTTCTTGATCTGCTTAAGATTTTTAATTTCTTGAGTCAGTTTTGGTAATTTGCTTGTTTCTAGGAATTTGTCCATTTAATGTAGGGTAGTTTGTAGGCAATAAAGTTTATTTTTGATGAATAAATTTGTTTATGGTTCAGTCATCCAAAAAACTGTGTAATTTATTTAATATTTATAAAACTTGAAATGTATGTCATACTTTTTTACATTTACTTTTGTAAAGCAAAATGTATATAAAATTCCATAAGATATTTAAGCAAAATTTTCCCCTAATACTAAGGAACCAAAATTTTCTGATAGGAGTGTGACTGGTATAAATCTTACTTCTAAAAAGCATGAAGTTCATTTGTCTTTTGACTAAAATGAATGATTCCCCACATAAAATTAACCTCTCTTTTTCTTCCTAGAAGCTGGAATGGCAAGTGTGGACTCCTGAGCCAGATTGCCCGCACTTGCTGTCTATACCTGGGGCCAACCTCCCTGTGCCCTAGTTTCCTCCTCTGTAAAAAGAATAATAGAACCTACCTCATAAGGCTGTTATGACGATTAAGTGCATTCACGCATGCAATAACTTGGTTCCTAGTTCATAATAAGCATTCAAAAATTGTTAGCAAGTATTATTTTTCATACTATGGTCATTAATTGGGGTTAAAATAAAAAGCAACTAGACATCTTATTGGAGAGACTAATAGTAAAAAGTCAAGGCAGCAATGTTGGATGATGGATACAGGAAGAGCCCTATTTTCCTTTAGATTTAATAGACACTGGACTAGGAGAAGAAGGAATGTTTAGCAAATGTTCTCTCACTAGAAAAGAAGTGGTTCTCTTTACTCATATCCAGGAGAGCCGGTCCCACTGACTACAGAACTGCGTCAGAGAGGCCCTCTGGTGAGAGAGAAAATCCAAGGGACTGTTCTCATGAATCACATATGCATTGGTGTCTCTGAGCCACACTGGAAAAAGAAGAGTTGTCTTGGGCCACACATTAAATATAAAAACGCTAACAAAAACTGATGAGCAAAATAAAAAGGTCTGCGTATAATTTACGATTTTGTGTTGGGCCGCATTCATAGCCATTCTGGGCCGCATGCAGCCTGTTGGACACCCCTGGAAAGAAGGGAAGATTCTTAGGGGAATAGCTCCTTTACTTTAAGATGAATCTTGCTCCACTGTGGGCACAGGGAACAAGAGATGCTACGTGTTTAAAGGAATGACCACAAGTACTGTATTTTGCCGTGTATAGTGTGCACTCTTTTGCCCAAATTTTTTTGGGGAAAATAAGGGTGGACATTATACATGAGTAGTACTAATTCCATAGCTATATAAATGTTTTTAATTTTTTATTTATTCTTATTTTTAAAAGTGTAACTCTAGAAAACAAAAATGATATCTGTATGCAAAATAATACCCTGGAATGTGATAATCAGTTTTGTTTCTAAATATAAATAAATAAAAAATTGAACTAAAAAATTAAAATGAAAGTTTTTTTTTCCTGAAAGTTTGGACCAAAAACATAGGTGCACATTATACACGGCAAAATATGGTACATGTCCAAGTACTTCCTTTTAAATCACAGCTCTAAGCCGCCACAGAGGGGATGATGTACTGACATGTTTCTGCTTTCGAAAACTTTGTTTTGTTCCTTATACCTTTTCCTCTTCTCTCCCTTCCCCTAAATACAAAAATACACTCCACAGCTGATCCCTCCTTGTCAGGAAAATAACTTAATTCATATCTATAATATAATAAATATATTAATGTATTTGTCACTATCACTATTATTTTCTTAGCAGCCACACAAGTAAAATAGCCATAGGTTTTATTTGGGGGAATAGAAGTACTCAGTTTCTTGGTTTCCAAAGCAGAAACAATATAGAAACATTTCATGAACATTTGAAATTGGCTTAAAAAGAAGTTTGTTTTAATTTTTAAAGAAAACAACTAAAATAAATGGTACCCTGATATAAATTTCAAAAACACATTAACCATAACATTGTATTTTAAAAGATGGGCATTTAGATTATACTCATTTTTATATTAAGATATAAATTAATGACTTATACCTTAAAGGATTTATCATAAAGTGTTACTGCCCAGTGAATTTTTGCAAACAAGAAACAATTCACTGAGAGTATTAACATTCATATATGTAATTAGAGTTTACAAATGTACAAAACATTGGGTAATAAACATTTTAAACTTATTTTTCAAACATTCAATAAGCCCATTTCCCCCGAAACTGATTATGAAGAAGCACAAAGGGTTACTAACTGGCAAAACATAAGAAACAAGGCAGGGGAGGCAAATACAGATTTGAAAACTTAAGAATATTCAACCAGTTTCGTCAATATCAAAAGACAATATCAAAACATCTCTTATAAAAGAAAACAAATTCATATAATTAAATACTTGTTAGGTGAAGGAACATTACAGGGCATATAACATTTATTTTCTCTACATAAATTTGCATATCTTAATGCAAAATACCATGTTTCAATTCCAATTTGAGAATATCATAACACATGCTTCTTGGTGAATCTAGATGTAATAGGATGAATATTTAAATAGACCCCAATGATCATATCAAGCTTTTACTTGGTCATTATAAACTCTTTAATGTTTTTCTTATATACTGGATTAACCCAATTTTAGAAATAAAATCTACAACCAAAGCCCATATAGTAGAGCTATTTTTGAAAAAACTAAATGGCATAGTATTTAGGATATCATTAACAGAGTGGTTGTGGTTAAACAAACAAACAAACAAATGAATAAAAATTACTGTAACATATATGATAAAGTTACAAAAGATAATGTTACAAGTTTTATCTGGTATATTTGCACTGCAATAAAAGAAATCTGGATTAGGTGAATAAAATGTGCTTGATTTTTAAGAAACGAAACCCCCAATTAACACAGGGCTGTGTTGAGGAGCAGTGTGTGTGTTCTCATATTTTACATGAGGAATGTATGTTCATAATCTACCAGCTATAGTTTTGATTTACTAAGACATAAAAGTATGTGATTCTGGTTCATCCTCCCTTGTTTTATTTAAAATCTTTACTTTCGGATCAGGCACTTTGTGCCCAGGAATGTGGCACTGCCAATTTACTAAAAATGTATCCATTGATAGTAAGATAAATGTACTAAATTGGTAAAAGAAGAGGATATCTTCGTTTGGAAACCAAAGCACTAAATTATAATTTTACAGTCACAACGCAAGCTCCAGCTCTTCCTAGGCATAGAGGAGCAACCTAAAAAGAAACAAGAAGACATATATGTTGGATTTGTAGGTAAAATGTTGATGATACCAGACCAGTTAGTCAAACACTGCAACAGTCCATGCTTGTTGGCAGAGCGACTGCCCCAGGCCTACCGCTGGCCTGGTCCTTCCCCCAAGCCCCGTGCCTGATGTCAAACTTTCACAGACACCCCAGTTGACATGGGTACATCGCATAATTACATGTTAGTCACTTCTCTTTAAAGGTGATGTTTTTCTCTTTCATTAATTGAGATATAATTGATATATAAAGTTATTTTAATTGCAGGTGTACAACATAATGATTCAAAATTTATATATACTGCGAAAAAGGTATTTTTTAATAGCACAGGAACTGTTCTACATGAAGCACGATGTTTTGGGCAAAATGATGTACAATACAGATGTGAGCAACTTTGTGAGCAGTATGGAGAAAAGATCAAGTATTATCTTGAGAGGCTCTGTAAGAGAAGCATCTCAGAGAGAGTAACTGCACATGGGGGACCTGCCTCCTCCAGAGGGGGCAGGAACTTCCCCTTATTAACGGCCTTCTCCAAAGAACTGAGAAGCCAGCCCAGTCCACTGCCTTTCAGCAGAGTACACAGATAATAAACGCAATCCATTCAACTCCCAGTAGTGGGAACAAACCTCTGAATAAACTCTATGACAGTGAGAGACAAGGGTGGGGTGCTAAGTGGAGAAGATAAATGTATTATGGATAAGGAACAACTCTTAAATCTCTCACTTATTTTCCTTTTTTAAAAAAATGTACCCTAGACAGTAAGCAATTAATAGTGAAAATAAAAGTGTAGTAAGAATAGTTTTCAAAGGACTACTTTGAATGTAGTAAGAATCTATGCACTTGACCTAAGAGAAATAAAACATTAGCATTTAGGAGAGTGAGTAATATAAAGTACTAAGAAAGTCTGCTTTGTACCAATAAGACTTCATCATACTTCAATTATAAGAGAATTCTCAGTTATTCTCTATTTGAATCAGTTGTTTTGGTCACTCTTATATGTCCTTGAACAAATAATCTAATTTAATGCCATTATCTACTCACAATATTCTAGGAGTGACCTCTAAGTCATTAAATTCAAAGCATCTGCTTATAATTAGCAGCTTTTCTCAAAACACCCAATACACTAAGTCTCTACACTGTGAATAGTACATGTTGTCATGACAACCAGATAGAAAGTTTAGCTTAGAGAATTTATTAAATACAATGCAGGCCCCTCCTGCTTTTGGTCAAGGCTGGTAGTGGAGTGGTGGAGTCGGGGGTGGCTTAAGGCTTTGTAATCTCACTTCATTCCCTGTGCAAATGTCCTCTCCTCCATTTGTTGGAACACTGAATGACAACATTTATTTTTCAGATACTACGGTTATAAGTTCATATTTAGGTGCTTTAAAATAGTAATAGAGGAGGCATGCCCATAAAATAGCTATGTGGTCATAGATTATTAATTTTGATACAGAGTGATTCAGCATGAATTACTAATTATCTGTGATAACAAGTCTCAAATCCTGGCCAACAGCTTTCCTTGTAACTGGCCTAAGGGCTTAAATCAAATAGCATCTCAGAGAAAGAGATTCTCCGGTCCTGTTTTGGGTTTCCTGGTTATCATGCACAACTACTGCTGCCATGGTGGAAGGCGGATGGGCGGGAACCACATAATTTCTAATGAAATCCTGTAGCTCTCACTCAAGCCTTCACTACTTCCATCTCTGACCCAAACTCATCCTGTCCCCAACTGCTGCCACGTAAACTTTTTATTATTGCATCACTCTCTTGGTTCAAAGTCTCTGCTGGCTTCTCACCACCAAACTCTTTAGTTTGACCCTCACAGACCTCCACCCTAACCCCGCCCTTTCTCTCCCATATAAGAACGTCTGCTCTTCTCAAGCACCGATCCTTACAACCACCCACACCTCCTCAATGTAGCCCACGCAGTTCTGCTTCAGTGCTATACCTTTCATGTTTTTTCACACAATCTTCTTCCTACCTTTTTGATTTGGATCCATTAAGGCTTTGCTTAAATCCAACTTCTTTTCACTGAAGCCCTCTCAACACCATTTTCTTTTTTCTCTCTGATTTTCTAGACCACCCACTGCCCGTGCCATGGGGCGCTTCATTCATGCCAACTGCTCTACATTGCGGTTCTCTCTTTACACATGCGGACTGTACCCACCAAAGCTGTTAAGTTCTATGGCATATGATAGCTGAGATTCTCCTAAGTTTCATTTCCTAACAGTACTTACCATTGCTTCTTGTAAGAAAACTTTGGCTCAGTTAAACATTTGAATTTTATGTACCAGATACTGTATTGGGGCACAAAACTCCTGATTCTGTTATTGGTGATGATGAAAAGAAAGATCTCAAAAGATCATTCCTAGAAGTGCTAGGTCCTCCCAGAAACAGACACAGTTGGAACTCTTTCTATTAATAAAGTTGCAAGTCAAATTTCTTGCTTGTTAATGTAATTTAGGATTACCATCTTAATTAGGTTATAACCAGCCATGTGTTCTGCTCCCAAGTATCCAAGTATCAGTGGCTTGAGTATTTAAAAGTTATTGGTCACGTATGGGTAAGCAGCTCAAATTCTTCTGACTACTATCTCTGTTTCTGATTTTCCACAATCTCCCCTCCCTTTCTTACAGCCTTCTTGTTGTCCTATCAGCTCTAGCAATGCTACAAGATCTCATCAATTTCCCAGCAAGGAAATGGTGGCAGGCTAACTAATAATAATTTGTCTGAGTAGTATTAATTTACACTTAAAAGGTAATTTTGGATTTTAAGTATGTTATAAAATTAAACATTCCCTCTTGTTCCCTTATATTTAATTAAGAGAAGACTTTATCATGAGGCTATATATTTTGATATAGGACAAAATTGAGAGGATCTGTTTTACTGAAAGAATTCTTTTAACAAAAATAGAGTAAGTGAGCGAGGGTTCCCTTTTCTCCACATCCTCGCCAACACATGTTATTTGTTGACTTTTTGATAATAGCCATTCTGACAGGTATGAGGTGGTTCTCATTGTGGTTTTCATTTGCATCTCTCTGATGATTAGTGATGTTGAGCATCTTTTCATATGTCTGTTGGCCATTTGTATGTCTTCTCTGGAGATATGTCTTTCCACATCCTCTGCCCATTTTTTGATTGAATTTTTTTTGTTGAGTTGTTTGAGTTTCATATACATATATACATACGTATATGTGTGTATACACACACATATATAAGATATGTAATATATATTTATATTATATAAAATATATATTTTATGTATAGTAGTATTATTTTTATATATATAAATAAAATATCAAGTCTTTATCAGATATATCATTGTGCACTGTTGGTGGGACTGCAAACTGGTGTAGCCCCTATGGAAAACAGTATTTGAGATGTCTCAAAAAAATAGCCCTGGCTAGTGTGACTCAGTGGTTTGAGTGCTGACCTGTGAACCAAAGGATTGCCAGTTCAATTCCCAGTTAGGGCACATGCCTGGGTTGCAGACCTGGTCCCCAGTAAGGGATATGCAAGAGGCCACCACACATTGACGTTTCTCTCCCTTTCTTTCTCCTTCCCTTCCCTTCTCTTTAAAAATAAATAAATAAAATCTTTAAAAAAAAAAGAAAACTAACAATAGGTATAATCCATGATCCAGCAGTTTTACTTCTGGGTACTTATCCAGAAAAAAAAATGAGAACACTAATTTGAAAAGATATATGCAGCCCACGTTCATTGCAGCATTATTTACAATAGCCAAGATATAAAAGTAACCAAAGTATCCACTGATAGAAGAGTGGATAAAGAAGATGTACACACACACACACACACACACACACACACAGGAATACTGTGCAGCAATAAGAAAGAATGAAATCTTGCCATTTGTGACAACATATGTGGATCTAGAGGATATTATGCTAAGTGAAATAAGGCAGAGAAAGACAAATGTTGTATGATTTCACTTATATGTAGAATCTAAAAATAAAACAAAAATAAGCAAATAAACAAAACAAAAACAGAATCATAAACAGAGACCAAAATGATGGTTGGTTACCAGAAGGGAGAGGGTGAGGGAACGGGTGAAAAAGAAAAAGGGAATAGAGCCACTACTACACTGATAAGTTTACATGGTGACAGACGATTACTAGAATTAGTAAGGCAATCCCACTGTAAGGCATAAAAATGTCCAATCATTATACTGTACACCTCAAACTAAACAACCAATATAAGGCTGTATATCAATTATACTTAAATTAAAAATATTTTAAAAAACAGAGTAAGTGGAATAATGAAAAATGAAATGACATACCTGGGTCCACTCATTTGTCTGGGGATCATAAGCCTCCACTGTGTTAAGATAAGTCTGTCCATCATACCCTCCAACGGCATAGAGTTTGTCTCCGAGTAAACAGACCCCCACCGCATCTCTGCTGATGCTCATCGATGCCACCGCTGTCCACATGTCTGTTTTGGGGTCATATCTGAAAGAAAATTTTAGAACTGGAGCTGACCTTGTTCTCATAGTATTTTATGTAAAAATGGTTTTGTTTTTTAAGCCTATATTTTGTCTTATTATTTGCTATGTAAAGTACATTTGAACAAAATTTAGAGAATATCAATATTTTCCTGAAAACTTTTACTTAAAATATTAGATTCATTCAGCATATGCATAACACTAAAACTTTTCAAAAGTGCTAATGCAAATACTGAAAACTGCTTTAAGGTTTTAAATTGCCTACTGAAAATCTGAGAAAATCAATGTGTGAAAATCTACATAAGATAACTTGCAGCTTCAATTATGGTAGCTGTTCCTTTTTGGACCCTCTTGTGCCTTTCATGAAGTATGTTTACTAGAACTGCCTAAAGCTGTGTGTCTAAGATCGGATACATGCTTGAATGACCTATATTGCTTCTAATACCTCCTATGTCAACAAACACCTTTTCACTGTGTGCAGTACAATGGAGAGCCTGCAGTAATTTATGGGGCAAAGTGCATAAAAACTTCCATATTCCTGTCCTGGATTATAACATGCAATAAGCAGTCTGAGGTGTCTGCTCCCCAGTATAGGTTAAATGCAGGTGTGACACTCCTTCTTTCTCAAAAAAAAAAACAAAAAACAAAAACCAACCCACTCAAAACCAAAAACCCAACTCTGCTTATTATTTTACAGAAAGCAATCACTGTCACCAACAAACCTTCATTTCACTTTCATTCTCCTTTTAGTTATTTCTAATTTATTAAATAACACATATATACATTAAATTTCCATTGCTCTTTAAAATCCAAAATTCTTTTAAAAAATATATTTTATTAATTATATTACAGTAGTCTCAATGTTTCCCTTTTTGCCCTTCCAGCAACTCCCCCCTTCGTTCATGTTCATGGGTCATGCATATAACTTCTTTGGCTTTTCCATTTCCTATATTATTCATAACATGCCCTTGTCTGTTTTGCACCTACCAATTATGCTTCTTAATCCCTACACCTTCCCCCCGCATGATCCCCCTCCCTCTCCAAGCTGTTAACCCTCCAAATGATCTCCGTATTTATGATTCTGTTCCTGTTCTGGTTGTTTGCTTAGTTTGTTTTTTTTAGATACAGTTGTTGATAGTTGTGAATTTGTTGCCTTTTAAATGTTTATAATTTTGATCTTTTTCTTAAGTAAGTCCCTTTAACATTTCCTGTAATAATGGCTTGGTGATGATGAACTTCTGTAGCTTTACCTTGTCAGGGAAACACTTTATCTGCCCTTCAATTCTAAATGATGGCTTTGCTGGATAGAGTAATCTTGGTTGTAGGTCCTTGCTTTTCATCACTTTGAATACTTTTTGCTGATTCATTTTTTCCTGCAAAGTTTCTTTTGATATATCAGCTGACAGTCTTATGGGAACTCCTTTGTAGGTAATGACATGCCTTTCTCTTGCTGCTTTTAAGATTCTTTCTTTAACCTTTGGCATTTTAATTATGATATGTCTTGGTGTGGTCCTCTTTGGGTCCAACTTATTTGGGACTCTCTGCGCTTCCTGGATTTGTATGTCTATTTCCTTCACCAAATTAGGGAGGTTTTCTTTCATTATTTTTTCAAATAAGTTTTCAATTTCTTGCTCTTCTTCCTCTCCTTCTGGCATCCCTATGATCTGGATGTTGGCACGTTTGGAGATGTTCCAGAGGCTTCTTACACTGTCCTTGTTTTTTTGAATTCTTGTTTCTTCTTGCTGTTTTGGTTGATTACTTATTTCTTCCTTATGTTCCAAACTGTTGATTTGAATCCTGGTTTCCTTTCCTTCACTGCTTGTTCCCTGTAGATTTTTCTTTATTTCACTTAGTTTAACCTTCATTTCTTCCTTTATGTTGTTGTACTAAATGAGTTCTTTGAGCTTCCTGATCACCAGTATTTTGAACTCTGCATGTGATAGGTTGGTTGTCTCCGTTTCATTTAGTTCTTTTTCTGGGATTTTGTTCTGTTCTTTCATTTGGGCCATATTTCTTTGTCTCCTCAATTTGGCAGCCTGCCTGTGTTTGTTTCTGTATATTAAGTAGAGCTGCTTTGACTCCCTGTCTTAGTAATGTGGCTTATTGTAAAAAAGGTACCTGTAAATTGTGTGGGGTGGAGCCTTAGGTAATCATCTGGGTGGGACAACCTGCTTCGCTACTTTGTGGCTCTGCGTTGGGGGAGGGCTGAGAGAGGGGACAGTGCTGCTGCCTGGCTTCTGGAGGTGCCTGGTGCTCACCCCATTTCCAGTCACTACACCCACTCCCCATATGTGACAGGTGCCCTTCCAGCTGTTGCCCTGGTGCTGAATCCCAGAGTGGATGGGTTTGTGGACGTTCTAAAACCATGTGAGCCCTTTAAATGGAGTCTTTTGAAAATCTGGCAGTTTTTTCCGCCGCCCCAACCACCACTGGATTTTATAGCCAGAAGTTATGGGGACCTTGCTTTCCCAGCGCTGGAACCCTGGGGTGTGTGGTCTGGCTTGGAGCTGGGATCACTTGTTCCCAAGTATCCCTTCTGATTTTTATCTACCACATGTGTATGTCGGACTGCCTGTTCCACCACTGCTACCGCCTGTCCACGCCACATTGTTGGGGACCACTTTGTGTGGTATGAGGAATTGTAGCACCTTGAAAAAGGGCCTGTTTTAAGTCTTGACCAGAAAACTGGGAACGCTGGGAGGCAGATATGATCTGATGCTAACACTGAGGGTTCCCGTGGGAAATCTGGCCAAAAGAATGCATTGTATCCACTGAAGCTTGCTCTGCTTTGCACTGCCTTGATAAGGAAAAACCATATGCTCGAGCTCCAAACAGGAGTGAATTCCTACATTCAGGAGCCATACCTTAAGACCATCTGATGTCAGCATGTCTTATAGACCCCGACCTGAGGCAAATCTCTGTGTTCCTTCAACTGTTATCCATGGTCTCTGTTTTCTGTAAATACAGCCTTTAGGCATTGATTGATAAGCTTTGCATGCATGCTGTATATTATTCTCAATAAAAGTCACTTCAGAGAAGGACTCAGGGCATTCTCCATTAGAGAGAATCGCCTTCCCCTTTCCTTGACAGCACTTGCTGTCTGGGATGACTTGTTATTTCATCCGCAGCAAATTGGAGGACTCCACGGGACAGGGTCCTCCATACCACACCATGTCTCCTCACCTCTCTGCCTGTTTAGCATCTCCACCCCTCCTACCCATCTGGATTAGTGAGGCTTCTTTAAATCCTTGGTTGCCGAACTTCCATACAGTTTGATTTTCTGACAGTTATGGGTGTTACTTGTTTTGAGGTTTAGTTGTAATTCTCTCTGTGGTGCACGAGGGGGCGAAGCTTGTCTTTATCTTGATTGGAAGTCCCCCAAATTCTTGACTGGAAGTCCCCCAAATTCTTAATAAAGCCTCAATACTTTACATGACCTGCCCCTGCCTCCACCTCATATTTCCTCTTTTCCTGCCACTCTCTCCATCACTCTGTTTTGTGACTACAGTGCCTGCCTTTCAGGTTCTGAATGAGTCATATTCCTTTCTGCTTTGGAGCTTTCATACATGCTTCTATTGGCTTGTCTAAATCCACTCAATTTTCTCTATTCCTTGTACTAGACTGAACACAAATAATGAAGCCTGACCTACTGTACAAATCTTCCACTGATGTTAGGTTTCTTTACCTGGTCCCACACTTGAGTCTCATGAGGCCAGTCTGGATGACTTGATAAAGCTTCTAAGCTTCATGAGCCTTTTATTTTATTATTTCATTTTATATCCAAATGTGTTAGAAATGCCTTGCTCCTTTTCTCTCATTGAGACTCCAGCCCCTAATTCATTATCTCTGCAATTCATGGAGCTCCTTTTCTTTTATTAGGTACAGTGTCCAGTACACAATGGTATACAATGAATGTTTTTTCCTATGATTCAATTAATAAATTATATAACCAATTCTAATTCTAAGATCAGTTTACGTAGACAGTTACTAGATGAGAGAAGAACCTGAGGAGGCTCTGAGGCGACAGACTGGCAGGTTGCCAGAGCAGACAATCCAGTATTTATAAAACTCCTAAGGAAAACTGCATGAGGTAGATGTCAATAAAGAATTACTAATTTTCCCGAAAGCGTCAGAGGCTTATACTTGTTTTTTTTATTCCTAGTTTTCCTTCACAAGAAATTACCTCTCCACACAGTCGGAGAGCCTGGAAGTCGAGCTGGATGCAGGCGCGTCGTGTCCTCCAATAGCATACAGCAATCCATTCCAGGTGGTTACTCCTACTCCCCCTCTCCTTTTTGACATTTGTGCACAGAGTGTCCACTTATTAGTATGAGGATCAAAACACTCTACTGACTTGAGACAAGAACTTCCATCACGACCACCAACTGCATAAAGTCTATAAAAAGAACAAACAGAACGATGAAGAAATAGTGCTATGCTTGAGACAAAGAGGTTATTCTTAATGGTATTTCTTTGAATTTAAAGTGCTATTGATTATAAGACACACTGTCAATTCATGTTTCATTAGAAAACTGATATGCTACCCATTAAATGACATATATGTATATATCGGATATCACAACGTATACATAAAAAAAGAAAACAAGCTCAGATGAAAGCAATGACAACTGTTTCACAGCTGCCATCTGTTTGACATCTGTTTGATACATCACGCTTGACTGTAAGATGCATTGCATTTTTAGAGATGTTAAAATGTGTCTTAGAATATAGAAAATATGATATATAAAGAAACCACGCCTTATTTCTTAAATAAAATAGGACTTCGTTATAAAAGAAACTAACCTTCTCTGAGCACCTACCACAGGTAAAGCCCTTTACGTGTATTTTATTTAATCGCCACAGTGACACTGTGAGAAGCCATTTGTATCTGTGTTTCATAACCGAAGACACTGGGGCTCATGGAGATTAAAAGACTTGAATGGGGTCACCCACTAAGAAGCAGAACCAGGATACATACGTATATTAATGAGCAGTTGTACAGTGAACAGTTATCTGGGATGAACTTGTAGTAATAACATAGGAGAATAAAAGGAGAGCTTGAAACATGGTATATAAATTAATATTTACTATATATAAACAGTGATCCTCCATTAATTTAAATTACTGCAGATAAGGGTACTGTGAGTTATCTAAAATACATGTGGTACGTTAATGAGCTAAATGTTGCCCTGATGGATTTTATTAATTATCAATTAATATATAGTATTAATTTGAAAGTCTTTTACTCTAAATATATGTAAAATATTTTATTTTATTTTGCTTTAATTTTTTGTTGTTGTTCAATTATAGTTGTCCCTATTTTCCCATTGCTCCCCCCTGCCCTACCTACCCCCCACATCCCACATTCAATCCTCCCCCCCATTGGCTTTGTCCATGGGGGTCCTTTATACATGGCCCTGACTTGACCCTTCCCTTTCTTTCCCCTGTTTATTTGAAGATTTAAATATTTTTTATTCAGCACAAAATCTTATACTTACTATTTACCTGGGAATCTCTTCATAGATATTTTCTATTAGTTTTTTTAAAAGAATAATAAATTCAGTTCATTGCTAATACTAAAGGTAATACAGCTTTAATTTATAGAGGCCTTAGTTAATATTTAACTATCTTTACAGTCTCAAGAAATAATATTTGAATTGTACCAAATTTGTGCCCATTAAAACACTAAATATTTATATTTGGTTAATATGCATATTTAAAAGATAGATTTCATAATTTTAATTTCATACTTGTGAAATTTAAAGTATACTATGCCACTCAAAGTGGTTTTTAAGTAAGATGACCATGCATTAAACTTCAATATACAGTTTTAGCAATATCTTGTAAGCTTAAGCTATATTGTGATATAAAAATTTAAATTTCTTTGAAACTTTTTCTGTTAAAAACTACTTTTTTGTGTTAGTATTCTTAATATTAAACTATTCTAATTTTAATCAACACTTGATGGAATAATTATCTAAATAATTGATCATAGAATATTAGAAGGCATCAACAATTAGAAAGTATCACTAATTAAAAATACATGCCCGCACGTGCGTGCGCTCTCTCGCTCTCTCGCTCTCTCTCTCTCTCTCTCTCTCTCTCTCCAGTAGGCCTCAAGGCACCTTACCCTCTTCACAATGAATCATGGGTCTTCCTGTGAGAAGTGCTGTAGTAAGCATGAACTCTGAAGCCAGATTCTCTGGGTTTGAATCCTGGTCCTGCCACTTATCACTTACCATTTGGGACCATGGACAAATTATTTAACACGCACCTGCCTGAATTTCATCATTCATTAAATCTAGAAGCCCTGCCCCAGAGGATTATTAATGATCACATTTAAAGTATTTTTAACAGTACCTTACACATTGTAAATATGGTATAAATGTTTGAATGCAAATTCTGTCTCTATTTGCATTCTTTTAGAAAATGTCAGACGTACAAACAACATTTATACTATGCTAATATTAAGGGATAAATTGTACTGGTACTGTTTTCTGAAGAGTCATTATCTCACGCAATGGTCTTCAAACTGTGTCCTAAGAACAGGATTCTGCGGAGGACTTGAGGGGGTCACCAAAAATGGTTCATTTGAAATTCAAATTTTAAAAAGCAGTTTTAATTTTCAAAAATACCACCTGGCTTAATTAAATATCATGCAAGATTCAGAACACATCTTTCTTTACTATGGCAGTACCTATTAGAATAAAAAAAGAAACAGTATGTCAAATTGTGATAGTTTTGTACTAAATATTTTAAAATGCAAGATGTAGGCCCTGCCTAACTTTAAAAATTAGGTCTTGCCTGACTGTTAAAATTATGATCAAGAATGCCAACAGCTGGTAGATGCTATTTCAGATTAAACTTAGAAAAAAAATTTTCTCCTATCTGCAAACTACTTGAACAGTTAAACTGAAGTTTCCTGAGATTCCAATTAAATTGCTCTAGTAGTTAAAATAACTGTTACTATTTTCAGCTTATCTGTGAATCAGGATATCTTCATACTGGACTTCCAAAACAAAACATAGAAATAATATTGAAAACAGACTTATTTTTCTACATTGAAATTTATAATAAATAAATATTATAAACTTAAATTTATAATGAACTTAAAGATTATAATAAACTTGAATCTCCATTTGCTTTAAGTATGAGGTTTTTGTAAGACATACTTGAAAGAGAGATTCTATAGTGTCAGCCAGCACCTTAACCGTAGCCCGAGTGATGGAAGCCTAAATAGAACTTCTTTCGGTCAAACATGGTAGAAAGAAAAACTTTAACACTTCGAAATTTTTAAGATACAGAATGAAACTTGTTAAGACATTGAAACAGCTATTCCTTAAAGAAGCAACTACGTACTGCATCAGGAAGTATTGTAAAATAAATTAAAATAACAAAAACAGTAGTTAATCCAGGCTTTTCATTTTATAGATATTAAAAAATGGAGGTACAGAGAAATGATTCATTCTAAATCACAAGAGAATGGTAGAGAGAAGATGCATAATCAATTTTTTTCAATCTGCTGCATGCTTTTTTTTTAAAAAAAACATAGTTTCTATTTTTTCCTGATTATGACTATGTACCTAATAATGCAAACCAAGGAAATAGTTTAAAACATTGCTACTTTGTCAGAGCAAGCCTAGCAATATGCTGGTTGATAAGAACACTCTTCTTGGGGTGCCTAAACTCTGCATCGAAATGGTAGCAGGACAGTCTTCAAAAAGGCTGCACGTGTCAGCTTACTGTAGAGACATTTATATTTAGACCTCTTATAAAAGGGCCTATTTAAAAATTAAAAAAAATGTTTTATTAATTGTGCTGTTACAGTTGTCCCAATTTTTCCCCACTTGCCCCCCTCCACCCAGCAACCCCCACTCCCTCAGGCAATCCCTCCACCACTGTTCACGTCTATGGGTCATGCATATAAGTTCTCTGGCTGCTCCATTTCTTGAACTGAACTCTACATCCCCATGGCTATTCTGTAACTACCTATTTGTACTTCTTAGTCCCCTCACCTCTTCACCTGTTCTCTCACACTCTCCCTCCCATCTGGCAACCATCAAAATGCTCTCCTTATCCATGATTCTGTCTCTGTTCTTCTTGCTTGCTTGCTTTGCTTTTTAGATGCAATTGTTGATAGGTGTGTGTTTATTGTCATTCATAGTTTTGATGTTCTTCTTTTTCTTAAACAAGTCCCTTTAAGATTTCATATAATAATGGTTTGGTGATGATGAACTCCTTTAGTTTTTTCTTATCTGGGAAGCTCCTTATCTGCCCTTCCATTCTACACAACAGCTTTGCTGGGTAGAGCAATCTTGGCTGTAGGTCCTTGCTTTTCATGACTTTGAATATTTCCTGTGAGTCCCTTCTAGCCTGCAAAGTTTCTTTTGAGAAACTGCCTGACAGACTTATAGGAATTAGTAGGTAACTAACTTCTTTTCTGTTGCTGCTTTTAAGATTCTCTCTTTATCTTTAATCTTTGGCATTTTAATTATGTGTCTTGGTATGGACCCATTTGCGTCCATCTTGTTTGAGAATCTCTGTGCTTCCTAGACTTGCATGTTTATTTCCTTCACCAAATCAAGGAATTTTTCTTTCATTACTTTTTCAGATAGATTTCCAATGTCTTGCTCTTTCTATTCTCCTTCTGGCACCCCAATGATGTGAACATTGGTATGCTTGTAGTCGTCTCAGAGACCCCTTACACTATCCTTGTTTTTTTGGATTCCTTTTTCTTCCTGGTGTTCTGAATGGTTGTTTTTTGCTTCCTTCTGTTCCATATCATTGATTTGATTCACAACTTTATCCACTCTCCTGTTGTGTCCCTGTAAATTGTCCTTTATTTCAATTAGAGTATCCTTTGTTTCTGACTGGATCATTTTTATGTTGTTAAGGTCCTTACTAAGTTCCTTGAGCAGTGTTTTGAATTCTGCATCTGATAGATTACTCATCTCCATTTTGTTTAGTTCTTTTTCTGGAATTTTGATCTGTTCTTTCATTTGGGCAGCCTGCCTGTGTTTGTTTCTGTGGAGCTTCTATGACTCTGTCTTGGTAGTGTGTCCTGTAGGGTCCTATCACCCAAACTGGGTACTTGAGGTGCACCCTGTGTGTGGGCTAAGAGCACCTTCCTCTTGTAGTTGAGCCTTCATTACTGTTGGCAGGTCTATGGGAGGAATTTACCCAGGCCAGTCAGCTGCAAGAACTGACTGTACCACTGACCATCAACCTACGTCCTCTGTGGAGGATCAGCAGTGCGGGGGCAGGGTGGTGGTGCTCCGATGTGGTCTGCAGCTGTCCACTGAGTGCTCAGGCTCTGGGGTTTCCTGAGTGGTGGAGTCAGGGTCAGCAACCTGTGTTCTGGCCGGGGCACTGAGTGTGAGCCACAAAGCAATCTGCAGCTGGCAGTTCCTTGTGATCCAAAGCTGGCTGTTCCTAGTGTCAGGCCTGGGGCTGCTTAGCCAGAGGTAGGAGGGCTGGGGGCAGGCCATAATTGGGTGGGGCAGAGCCTCAGGGAAGTGCCAGGAGTGGGCAAAGTGTACGCCCTGCTGCCGGGCACTTCAGTTCCTCTCTGCATGCCACTAGTGCCTTTCAAGCTGCTACCTTGGTGGTGCTGGAGCTCAGAGGGAGTGAGTCTAAGTTCATGTGCGTGATCTTTAAGGGGAACTGCTTGGGACTCCAGAAGCTTCTTCCACCAACTCAATCCCCACTGGTTTTGCAGCCAGAAGTTATGGGGGCTTATCTTCCTGGCACTGGAACCCTGGGCTGGGGAGCCTGGTCTGGGGCTGGGACTCATTGCTCCTGAGATAATCCCTCCCGAATTGCTATCCACCACATGTGGGTGTGGGGACCCACCCGTTTTGTGTCTTCGCCTCTCCACATCTCCTGCCCATCTGGATAGATGTGGTTTCTTTAGATCCGTAGTTGTTGGACCTCCATTCAACTTGATTTTTGACGGTGCTGCGTGACCACTGGTTTATAACTTAATTGTAATTTTGATGCGGTTGCGCAAGGAGGCGAGCCATATTTAACTGCACCTCCATCTTTAAAAACTTGTTTACATCACTCAAAGTATTTCTCTTTTGTGGTTTATATATGTTTTTAAGTTGGATATGATACAGCATAATAAATTTACTTTATTGTGTTTTAAATAGAACTTTAGGTATTTTCTTACTTCCCACTGAGTACTGCCACACCTACGGTGCTCCTGGGGGTGGACATAGCGGCAACAAAATTCCACTGGCGAGCCTGAGGGTCCCATCTTTCCACGGTATTCAGATAGCTCCAGCCATCGTGCCCTCCCACTGCGTACATGGGGCCTTCCAGTACGGCCACACCTACAAGGAGACAGGAAGAAATAATGTCTTAAAAATGGCATTTAAACTGAAGTGTAAGTACAATAAATCTTAAACATGTAAATTTAACTAAGCAAAAAATTGATGATAGAGATCTCTGGTTTACTCACAGCTCTTCTTAGTAGAGAGGTGGGTGAGTGAGGGGGGAGAGAGCACTATAGCTCTGGTCATAGAAATTTCAGAGGCCATGTTTTAATGTCATACAGTGGAAAGTTATTAAAAACTACACAAAACGTACATGTTCCCATATTTAAAACATTTTTCAATAATATGGATTTAAGACATATTTGAGAAAGCATTTTTATTCCTTTCCCCCTATTCATTCAAATTCATGATATTTTTATTGCAGTTAGATTTAATAGCACAATCTACTGATGAATCATCACCAGGGAACTGAACCAGCTTCATTTGTTCATTTTTTCAACAAATTATCTATTGAGTTTCTAAGTGCCAGGCGCTTAACAGAACATAACAGATAAGGGCTCTGCCCTCATGGACCTCATATTTTAATTGGGAAACAGAAACCATATATTTTGGGGGTTGTTAAATGCTAAGAAGGAAAACTGAATTGATTAATGGCAGAGTGAGTCAAGGGGAGACTTCTCAGATGCGATGACATTTGAACAAACATGTAAATGAAGTTAGGAAGCCAGACATGGAGATATCTGGGGGAAGAGACGGTGCAGTAAAGGGAACAGTGTGTACAAAGGCCCCACGCCACGCTTCGTGTGTCTGCGATACAGCAAGGAGGCCAGCGTGGCTGGCAGCGTGAGTGATGCGTAGAGTGTGGGAGGTGAGGAGAGTGCGCAGCCAGCTCATGCAGTGTGGTTGGGGCTACTGCGAGGACTTTGCGTTTTATTCTAACTGGGACAGAGAGCCAGGGGAAGGTTTTGAGATGAGGTGTGACGTGATCACAGTCAGGTGAGATATAAATGAGTCACTAGAAGGTCAAAACACAAATTTTGCAATACAAATACATTTTAATTTGTGAAATCATGGCCAGATAAGATACAAATATTCATCATTCATATATGTCCTGAATTAACATATTATTCCACTCATTTTATGCCCTGCCAGTATTGGCTATTGTAGACGCACCTACATATCTATAGTTTCAATTATATGTAATATACACCCCATTATATGTGTATGTATATATAATTAATCAAAGAACGGGGAGAAAAAAATAATGGTTCCATCTAGTTGAACACCTTAAGCAGCATCTTTGAAAAGAAACATTTGCAGCAGAACCACGTTTTCAAATGAAATCTTTAATTCCCATATGTAAAAGGGTAAAAGGAGTTATTCTTAAGTAAAAGTTCCTTTTAGAAGTTCAAATTTGAAACATTTATTATAAGGTAACTTAATAAGAACAAGGCTGTTTTTAAATGATGCAAATATCTGAAATAAAGACTTAAAGTAGACACTTTGAGCATTCTCCTTTGAACTTGCTGCAGTTCAATAAAGTCTTTTGTAGGGTTCCTGGGACTAACGATAGCATTCCATGCACAATCTAGTCTGCACAAAACGGCTGGATCATGGGTATTCTCATTCCATGTACCGTATGTGTAAGAATTTACCTTAAGTTAGAATTAAGTTTCTTTCCCCTACAGTAGGGGAAAGTTTGCAGTTGAATCACAATATTGTCCCTGAATTTTACGGTCGACCCAAATTTTATGTCTCATTTATGCTACTTTTAAGATATCTCTTCCTATATTCTGTGCCTATGTAATAGGCAATTTTATGGATATAAGGGTAATGTTTACAGTTTTCTTTGTTAAATTTGATATAGTTAATTTTAAGCTTCCTCCCTGCACCTCAGCCCTGACCTTCTGGTTTACTTCCCAACTTGAAACTTAAGGTCACCTCTCATTGAAACCTAATTGCAACTAGTAGAATTCCTTGTCTCTCCGATCTTTTACTGTACTCACTACCACTACCTAGATGGTATCTTCATGCCTTGGTAATTTGCACTGGCTTTTTGGGGCATCCTCTACTCAGGTGTTTAGTGTTAATAAACTGAGTACTGGAGAAAGCTATGCTATCCAAACTATGCCTTCACTGCTACTCATCTATTTTTCAAATTCATCTTTTATGATGGCCTATCGAATTCTTCATTGCAACTATTTTTAAGCCTTTTTCAAAATGTAATAAATGGACATCATGGCACAAATTCTTCCTATCCCTGATGCAATGTGACTCTGCAGTTCCTTCCATCAAGAGGACGCGTCTATTTCCCTGCTCTTTGAATGGGGGCTTGCCCATGTAACTTGTCTTGGCCAGTGGGGTGTTAGTAAACATGATGCAAGCAGAAGTTGTAAAGTGTCTGTGCACTGGCCTTGCCTTCGCTTGCTGCTTTTGAAATCCTGTGACTGCCACCACGTGGAAAAGCCTGGGCTAGACTGCTGAACCGTTAGCGGCGTTGGCCCTGTGGCCTGTGTTTCCCAGGCCAACAGCCTGCCTACCGCTGCACATGTGAGTGAGGCCCTCCTGTCAACCCGTCAGCCTTCCACAGATTGAAGAGAAAACCCAGCGGAGATTATCCGAGACAGCCCAGACCAGAACAGCCTAACCCGCAGATCCGTGAACTAAATTAACGGTTGGTTTAAGGCTTGAAGTTTTGCAGTGGTTTGTTATACAGCAAAAACCGGGTGGTACACATATTTCAAGCCTCATGTAATTTTATTTCCACCTCCTTCGCTCTCATCAAACAATTCTTTCTATTTCATCTGTTCTTTCTCTTACGAGAAAAGAGAGGTCATGTGATACAAGATCCCTAAATTCTCTATCATCTCAAAGTGAGCCATCAGTTTCTTGAGGGTAAAGACAGTATCTTCCACATTTCTGCATACCTACAGAGCAAAGACTATGGCATATAGCACATGTTAATCAGTGTCCACTCAGTGAATTATTAAATGCAAAAGGAAAAGTCTCTATCATTACATTCTCTGTGTCACCTTCAAATTGTTCTGGGTTTTACTCATTTCTGCTTAAAAACCATGGGATACACATAGAAAACATAGATTTTTAAATAGTATTTCAATTAGGTTAGATAATACTAATTGTTAACACAAAACACACATATCCAAAGTGGCCTGTCAGTTTATCCTGCTACCCTAAAATATCCATGCTTTTTGCTCTGGCTGGGTGGCTCAGCTGGTTGGTGCGCTGCCCCATGCATCAAGATGTTGCAAGTCTGATCCCTGGTCAGGGCACAAAGCTAGGTTTTGGGATTGATCCTCAGTCAGGGCACGCACAAGAAGCAAACAATTTATGTTTCTCTCTCTCACATCAATGTTTCTCTCTCTCTGCTCCTTCCTCTCTCTCTAAAATCAAATAAACATATCCTCTGGATTTAAAAAACAAAAACAACTCATGGTTTTATTTATACTAGCTGCACATATACAAGTATGCATATGCCTGTATTCTTGCTCCTGCTTCCCCCATAACAGACTGTGTGCAGGGATGCTTGGTGACTGCTGCTGACTTAGCAGCTGCACACTCATCTTCTCCCCGGTCCAGAATGTAAAAATGCCGTGGAACCCTAATGCATGATGTTATGAACAACTGTGCAGTTATACTCACCAAGGCCATGCCTATGTGTGGACATAGGAGGCATCACACTCCAAGTTTTTGTTTTGGGGTTGTAGCATTCTACCGTATTCAAAGTCTTCAGTCCGTCTCTTCCCCCGACCACATACAGTTTGTCATCTAACACCGCAACACCGAACTGTAGCCGCCTCCCATTCATATTCGCTACAGGAGTCCACATATTTGTACGGAGATCATACTTTTCAATGCTTGTTGCTCCTTAATGGTTATATATAAAAGTTACGTAAATAAAAAGTTCACCATGATTATTTTATGAAATAATCACACAAAAATATACTTTTAGTAGCATGGACAACAATACTTTTGTTATATGCCAATAAGCCCTTGTATGATCTGGCCTCTGCTTATATCCCCGACCTCATCTACTAATATTCTCCAGGGCATGCAGCAGGGCATACATCTCCTACTATTCTCCATGGCATACACCACGCTCTGGTATTAAAGGGTCGAGTGAAAAAGAATTATCTGTTAAAGAAGGTTGAGTAGCAATAGCTAGAAGTGGGAGGAAAAGCTGGGTAGTTTAATGTCATAGAAGCCAAAGGAAGAAAGTTTATAGCAGGTAGGACTATGAACAGTATCAAATGCTACTGAGAGGTTGAAGTAAGAGAGCAACTAAAAAGTATTACTAGATTTAGCTGCATAGAGGCCACTGGTGACTTTAAGAAGTGTCCCTTGTTTGAGTGGTTGAGAGAGGACTGGAAGGTGAGGAATGCAGATAATTCTTTGGAGAAGTTTGGCTATAAAAGGGAGGAGAAAAAGATGGGCATTACTAGATGGGTTAAGGGATGTTTTGTCTTATTTTACTTTTAAAATTGGAAAAACTTGAGTTTGCTTAAATGGTAACGGAAGGATTTAGTTATAAGGAAAGAAACTGAAAATACATGACATGATGGGACCTTGAGAGGCAGGAACGGGCAGCATCAGAGCACAGGTGAGGGGCTGGTTTTCATAGGAGGAAGGAGAGGATGCACATTCCATTGCAACCAGGGACGGCAAGAGCGTACGTGTGGGTCATGTGCTTTGGGAACTCTGAGTGTGCCAAGTTTAGGGGGTAACTGCCTGGCGACATCTACATTTTTTTTAAGAATTGGAAGATTGAAAGAACTCCTGCTGTCTTGATGAACTGACACCAGTGCAGCTAAGGGGGAAAGAAGCCCCACTCCTCTTAAAAAACCCAGCCCCCCATTACAAAGAGTTTGATTAGTGTCTACTTTATTTCCCTCTTCTAAACTTCCGATACCACATGCCATCAGTGCTATTCTTATAGATTTACAATTAGGACGAACATTTATCCTAAAGTATTTGTTAAAATTAGGTCATCAGAGCACTAGTACTACTGATAATCTCCTAAAATTCAGAAATAGTTTTATTATATATTATCATGTTTTCTTATTATTGTAGTTTTATTATTTACTCTATAAAAATTTTAAGTTATTTGAAATAAATACCAAGTCTTTTTCTATCTCTATATTCTCACAGGGCTATATAATCGACTCCACTGTATATAGCAGCTGTTTAGAAATATTTTTGAATTTGAATAATATTTCTTTATTACTTTTAGCTATAAGGAGATTTTACTCCTACACTCAGATTATTCTATATAATAGTATTCTTGACTCTATATTTGACCTTAAAAACTTCCTTCATTAAATAAGAAGACAGTGCCAATCATCTCTCCTCACTAGTGGATTTAAGAAATATTTATTTAATTTTAATTTTAATTTATTTCTTTATATCTAGTTCACTAAACAGTACCATAGCCTTATAAAATGGTAACTAAAAATTCTTTTGCTAATATCAAGCATAATTCTTACATAAAATCTAAAAACATTGTCTGAAACATATTGATATCTTAATAATATATATCAAAGCATAACAAAATCCTACCAACTGCAAAATTCTATGAAAAAGTTTAGAACTCCCCCAATTTACATGGAAGAATTAACCTTTAAAAATAGTAGGCACAAATACATTCTAATATTTTCTTAGTAGCTATTTAGATCCATCCCCAGTTTATTTGTAGGGCTCTTTACTAAACAGAAGGGATCAAGAACCCAGTCATCAGACTACTACCTAACTAACATGAACAGCTTTTCATTATGAAGACACTGGGAATAAGGTAAGGCCCAGGAAGGCAGATTGAAGAGAATGGAAGGTTGGAGTATTTGCTTGTTAAGAAAGACTTAGAAATAATGTCAGTCAAGCTACAAGGGCCAGATTACAAGAAAGACTTGAAATCTTGAAAAAGAAATTTATACCTTATGTGGTAAGAAATAAAAATTGCTGGAGTTTTTGAGCAGAGTAATGGCAAGTTAACACAAGAGTTAGAAAAGCTAAGAGTATAGTCTCCAGGGTCAAAATGACTGAACTTTTCTCTATCACTAATTAGTTGTGTGATCCTGGGAAAGTTACTTAAATTCTGTCTCAATATCCTTACCTATAGACGAGTGCAATAATAACAGTCAGCTCTGAGAGTAGCTGTTAAGAAGAAATAATGCAGGTTAAGTGCTTAGCATAATGCCTAGCACGTATTAACAACATAAGTTAACATGATCAAAATATGTGGCCTACTGGGAGGCTAACTGTAATTAGAAAGATAGCAATGGAAACTTGGAAAAATAAGACCCATTTGAAAGAAGTCATTTGGGGACCGCAGATTTTAAGGTTTGACAAGGGGTGGGGGTGGGGGCAACAGTAGATGTATATTGTCTACTTTGGGTACTTGGTAACTGAGTTCCCTTCCCAGGATTGGGGAATGTTACACTGTATGTATGGGTCTTGATGAGAGGGAGGGACCCACCTTGCAGAAAGCTGAAAAGACACAGGCATTTTTTTTGTTTTTGGAAGTTCAGGGTCCAGGACTGAGCTAAACATAGTCAAATGGATGCTTGCCCCTAGTATTTAAAATCTTAAGTAGGAATTATAAAGAAGATGTAGTTCCTGCCTGTTTCTCAATAGCCTTCCAATAAATTTCTTATCTACTTATATGAGCCAGAGTTGGTGTTCACCAAAGAACAATGAATTATGAATCCAAGTTCTCAAGTATGGGAGACGTGGTCCGAGAAAATCTGAACACACAGAGTTTGAGATGTAAGCTGAACATAAAACAGTATATTTTATGCAAGCTGGACACATAAGAATAAAATTGAACTTAGAGAGTATAATTAACATAGGGATAACAGTTAAAGCCTTGAAAAGGGGAGGGAAAGATAAGCAGTAGTAGGAATGACTACAAAGCTAAGCACCACTTCCAGGTTCACAGTGGATACTTAATACTTAGTTTTGCAGATTGATTATCTGCACCGTGGAGATCTACTACTTATACTATAACTCTAATCAGTGATCTTACTTTGTGTATTTCTGTACTGTTTAGTCACCAAGCCTATATTTAGAACTTAAGCATCTATACATACATAACACTATGCTTTATGTTATATGGAATAACATCCACATATCTATATCTATACCTAGCTTTGTCTCCATAAACCTAAGAGTTAAATAACAATATAAGACTTTCTGTAAGAGCTCATATTTTTATATGCCTTAGAAATGTCACATAGAAACCTTCAGACATGATTAACGCATCAAGGGCATTAGCCATACAAGTAATTCAAAAGATGGGAAAGGACACTCTTTATACATTAGACAAATACTTACTGATGCTAAGTGCAAGGCACACTTCTAGGCTCTGAGAAAATGTTAGTGAACACAACAAAATCCTTGCTGTTCTGGAGCTTACTTGGGGGAAGAGGTAGACAGATCATAAGCAAATGTATCAAGTGCTATTAGGAAACACAGGGCAGGGTAAAGAGATAGAAAGTAGTAAGCAAAATATTTGAAAGTGATGGGCAAGAGGTTGCTACTGATAGTCATAGAAATCCTCTTTCACATCTGAGAGGAGATCTGAGTGGCTAATTTCTGCTAAGCCTTCCAATATCAAGGCACAGAGCATCCATGAGAGGAATAGCCAGGGCAATAATGTTTGGCATGTCAGATGAACAAGGAGGCCAACGGGACTGAAGCAGAAGGAGGGAGGGGAAAAGTAGAATGAGCTGAGATCAAAGAGGAAGCCAAAGTCAGGGAGGTATTGTTAGGGGATTGCAGACTGTTAGAATTCAGAGGAAGAAATTAATGTATACTGAGAGAAAGCACACAGAAAGCGTCTAGCACAACACCTGCGCTTGGTAGTCAGTATGTACGGTGTTTGTTCTATCATTATTACTATTAACAGCAACTGTTGCAGGAATGGTACAAAGTATTTCGAGATGCCCTTGACCCAGATTTCCCAGCTGTTTATGTTTTATTACATTTTCTTTCTATGTATGTATGGGTTTTTCTCCTGAACTGTTTAAGAGTAAATTGCAGAAGTGATACCCCTGTACCCCTAAATACTTCAGTGCATCTTCCTCAAAACAGGAAATTCTCTTAAAAAACATTATACAATCACCAAAATCTGAGATATTAATGAATGTAAATGAATCAATATAAATTAATGAATATAAATCAATATTAATACAATGCTATTACCTAATCTGCAGGCCTTATTTGGATTTTGCCATTTGTCTCAGTTATGTCTTTTATAGCAAAAGAAAATCCAAGATGATGCATTGTAATAGCTGTCATGTCTCCTTAATCTCTTGCAGCCTGAAACAATTCCTAAATCTTTTCTGCATTTTTTGACATGGATGTTTTGAAATACTACAGACAAGTTATTTTATAGCACATCTCTCCACTTGGATTAGTCTTTTCCTTGTGAATAAATTCATATTATACACTTTTTGCATAAACACCACAGATGTGCAACTGAGCTCTTCTCTGTGCATCTTATAAAATGCACATGCTGCTGGTTAGTCTCATTACTGGCAGTATGATCTTTGAATATTTGGTTAAGGTGCTGTGTGGTAGGTCTCTCCACTGTAAAAATATTATTTTACCCTTTATAACCAATAAGCAAGTCGTTGGGAGATCCTTTGAGACTAAATATCCTGTTGCCAAACTTTCACCTACTAGTCTCAGCATCCATTGAGGTTCTTGACTAAATCAGTTGTTATTATGATGGTTGTCTTATGGTGATTTTTTTAATCTTATCTTTGCTTCTATATTTATTTGTTGGCATTCTCCTATCATAAGGAAGAGCTTTCCTTTCTCCCTTCTTCATTTGAATCAGTGTGGTCATGAACACTTATTGATTTACTAGGTTACAATCTTTACTTACTTTGATGCTGAAATTATCCTAGATTGGACAGTGGTAGCCTCTACAGACTGAGATCCTTGACCTGTCTCCATCATTCTTTGAGCAATTCCTACTTTCCTGCTCTACAATGTGTTCTAGGCTTATGTTGTACTTTTTCTACCCCAATGCTAGAGCCAGCCATTTCTCCAAAGAGCTCTTCGGCCATATTTATTACTATTTCAAATTCATTTTTTTTCTGTTTTCCCCAATAAGAGATGTAATACCTTTTGTTGAATCTATTCCACCAACGGCAAATAATGTACCAACAGTTGACTTCCTAGGTTTTGTCCGAGGACTTTGTAACATGGGCCGTCTCTCTGGTAATAAATGATACTTCATTGCTTCCATAATTAGTTTCTGACATTCTATATCATCCCGAAAAAGTGCATTATTTTCCATGTCTGCCAGGAACTAGAAAAGAAAAAGTGAGCACTGAATGACCAAGAAAATGTTAAGTGTAAAAGGATAAACTACATAGTTCACAAATGGAAATAATCTCATTTTTTAAAAAAAAGTCTGGACATCTATTTTAAAGTGAAATATGTGACATTTACAAGATTTACATTTTAAATTTCATTGAAAACCACAAAACTGTGAGGATAAGTGGTATGCTCTAAATCTTAACAGTGCTTATCTCTGGGGCATAGGGAAGCTGGTGCTTTTTTAATGGTATTTTTTCCCTACTTTTCTATGTTTTCCAGATTTTCTAAAATAAATCATTTTATCTTCTTAATTATAAATAATTTTACCTAAAGAGAAATAATCACAAGTTGACTAACAGTCTTATTTCATATTTGAAACAGTCTTCAAACAGCAGCAAAAACAAACTTAACAATTTCTTAGGGGGCAAAGGACTCTAAATGAGTTTTATTTATACTAGTTGCACATATACACGTATGCATATGCTTGCTCGTGACTATTCTAAAAGAATTAAAATCATTTGTGAATCACTGAATCCAATTTTTTTTAAATTATGGAGTTTTATGTAAATGTATACAACCTTCCATTAAAAAAAATGCATTTTTAAATAGTGTATGAGTTCAAGAACGTCTTTATTTTCTTCCAGATGGATAGTCAGCTCTGCACGAGCACTATTTATTAAATGATCCCCTTCATTTCCAACAGAATTGAAGCCTGGTCATATATTACATTCTCATAAATAGATTCAGGATAAATGAGATGTTTTTTGATTCTTCATTCTGTTCCATTGATCTTATTTGTCTATTCCTCTTCTAATACCATACAGTTTTAGTGTTTTTATAGCATTTCTGATTATCTGATATAAATCTACCTTCATCATTCATTTTCATAGTTTTCTTAGCAATTTTTGAATCTTTACTTTCCATATAAACTTGAGATAAATTTATCTAATTCCCCTTCACCATCTTGATCCTGTTGGAGTTCTAATAGAAACTGCATTAAATTTATTTATTAATTTTGGGAGAATTTACATTTTTATGCTATTAAGTCTTTCTGTTGAAAAACCCTTTCTATTTGTTGTATAGCTTTCTTCATATAGGTCTTGTGCCTTTCCTTTATTAAATATATTCTTACATATTATATTATTTTTACTGTTATTGAAAATAAAGTGTTACATTTCTGTTTTACACATTTCTTTTTACTGGAAGAGAGATAAATCTATTGATTATTGTGTATTATAACCTACACTTTACCACATTCCCTTATAAACTTCTAGCTATAAGGCATAAAATCATAATCATTACTAATTGACCTTTTTTCCTAATGTGTATGCCAATTATTCCAGTTTTATTTTATTATTGCAAAGCTAAACCTTTCTAAGCAATGTTAAATAATTGGAGTGATATAGAGTATTTCTGTTTCTGGTTTGAACTGATATGGTTTTAGTGTTCCACTATTTGGAAAAATAGTTGCTGTAGCATTTAGTAATCCATCTTTATTATATTTAGATTGTTCTCTATTTATTTTACTTTAGACTTTTAAAATAAAGAATGATTGTTAAATTTTTTCCCAAATATCCTTTGTACATCTATTGATATGATTGCAAGGTTTTTTTTCTCATTTAAATTATTCACATAATTAGTAAATACCTCAACAGATTTCCTGAAACTCAACCATTCTTGCATTCTGAAAAAAGACCTTCCTGGTCTTCTTTTTGAGATGCTCTAGGACTGCACTTGATAAGATATGTTTTACACATGATATAATTCACTATTTCAAGTATACAATCCAGGGGTTTCTAGTAAACTGAGGAAGTTGTACAACCATTAATGTAAAACAGTTTTGGAACATTTTCATCACCTCAATTAAATTATGCCTGTTTATTGCTAATCTCTCTTCCCCCTCCTGTCCCAAGTACCAATCTGTCTTAATAAATCTGTCTTTTTACATGTTTTATATAAATAGAATCACACAATATGTGGTCTCTTATATTTTGCTTTTTTTTAATTTTTGTTTTTGAGGTCCATGATGTTTTGAGGTCCATCCGTGTGTAGCATGTATCAGTATTTCATTTCTTTTTATTGTTGAATAATATTCCACTGCATGGATCTACCACAGTTTGTCTATCTCTTCACTAGGTGATGGACACTTAGGTTGTTTCCAGTTTTTGGCCATTACGAATAAAGTTGTTAAGATCATTTGAGGGTAAGTCTTCATGTGAATATGCAGGGTCCAGCACAAATAACACCTCTTTTCTATTACAAAATCATAAGCATGTAATTCTGTAAATTCTGTAACATAATGATATCACACTCAAGCACACCATATGACATTTTAGGTGAAATGTTCAAATTAAAACTATAAATTATTATACCCATTATATTACCCTACCAACCACACTCAAGCAGGCCTTACTTCTGCTATACACTGTATGTTTTCATTTCTTTTGCATAGATATCTAGGAGTAGACTTGCTGGGTCATGTGGTAAATTTATGTTAACTTTTTAAGAAACTGCCAAACTGTTTGCCAAGGTGGTGGCACGTTTTACATTCCCACCAGCAATATGTGAAAGTTCCTGTTTCTCCACATTCTCACCAACAAATGTTACTAGGTCCTTTTATTTTAGCTGTTTGAGTGAGTGGGCAACGTGGTTTTACTTTGCATTTCCTTATTGCAAAGGAAATGCAATACTGACTACCAATACTGAGAATAAGTTCATGTTTTGATAATGGAAGAAATGAAAGTTTCTAACACAAGTCACTGGAGAAAATACAAGGTCCAGCACAAATAACGCCACTTTTTATTACAAAATCTTTTATTACAAATTCATAAGCATGTAATTCTGTAACATAAAAATATCACACTCAAGCACACCATATGACATTTTAGGTGAAATGTTCAAATTGCTGTCCATCTTGTGTGAGACATTCACGTACCCTACCAACCACACTCAAGCAGGTGTTGCTTCTGGTGGGCCCTGTAGTTTGTGGCATTTGGAAACCAAGACCAGCACACTGAAGGCCAAAACGCCAAATGAGTCTCAGGACTTACGCTAGGGTATACATTTTGGTATTAATTATTCCATATTTTTCCTATGCACACAAATACAGTTATACTGGCTCTAGAAACCATTAATGAATGGGCATTGAGTTGGCTCATTTAGATTAATCTTAATGTTTATATTACTTCTATTACATATGATTATATTAGTCTTTTCTAAGTAAAAATGAATGTGAAAAAAATTGTAGAAGGTAGTCTTGAGAGCCTTAATAGTTACTGCAATTTGAAGTAAAACATATTTCTTAGCATGCTGATAGTCTGTAAGTTATGAATAAATGAGACTAATTATATATATTTTTTCCTCCCAAAGGAATTAATTATATTTAAGTAGAGAAATAAAGTAATAGAAGAAAATATGAAGCCATTAATCCATGTATCAGATTAATTAAATGGAAGGTACCAGATATCATCTGGAAAATCATTCAGAAGGCACTGAGAGAGAACTACAAGATACAAACTGGGGTATACTCTGCATTTTAGGTAATATTATGTGCCTTCTCTGCCATAAAAAAGGGGCAAATTATTAACATGAAAGTATTTAGAAAATAGAAGAAGTATTTCCAATTTGTAAATTTTTACCTTAACTCACTTACTTGTTTAGCATATGACTATTTCTCTAAAACCATCCCCTCTCCAACACAGAATGTGAACGATTTATGAACTCTAAAGGTTTTTAAAAATATTTTGGTATCAAAAACTTGTAAATTAAAAAAAATATGCTAAAAGTAAATACAAGGCATAGTCAGGTCCTTTGGCCATTTTTTAAATTGCATTGTTTTTTTGAGGTTGAGTTGTTTAAGTTCTTTGTAAATTTTGGATGTTAGCTCCTTATCAGATGTATCATTGACGAATATTTCCTCTCATTCAGTGAGTTGTCTTTTCATTTTGTTGATGGTTTCCTTTGCTGTGCAAAAACTTTTTAGTTTGATGTAGTCCCATTTGTTTATTTTTCTTTTGTTTCTCTTGCCTGAGGAGATATATCAGAAAAAATATTGCTACAAGAAATGTCTGAGATTTTACAGCCTACGTTTACTTCTAGGATTTTTATGGTTCCGAGTCTTACATTGAAGTCTTTAATCCATTTTGAGTTTGTTTTTGTGTATAGTGTAAGAAGGCGGTCTAATTTCATTTTTTCAGCAGGTATCTGTCCAATTTTCTCAACACCAGATGCTATGTGGGTGCCTCTTCCTGGCTCCAGGGCTCTGGGCTAGGGATCCCGGTGTGGGATTGAGACCCCATTCTCCTCTGGGGGAACCTCTGCAGCTGAGATATCCCTCTGGAATCTCAGCTGCTGCCTCCAGGAGTAGGGTGAGCCCTTTTCCTGTCTCCACCCTTCCCACCAGACTGTAGCAGGCAGTTAGACAGACATGAACAGAATAGGAACAATAGGCCAGGTACTGAAGGTCACCCAGGATGGAAAGTCCCCGATGCCTAGCAACAGGCAAACTGGGAAAACAAGTATTTTAGGCTAGGACCTTACCTGCCCCTACCAGGCTGACCTTTCCACACTTAGCATGTCAGTACCCCTGCGATTAAGACCTCCTGATCTTTCATATTGCTAGTCATGTGGTTTAGATTCCTTAGAGAAGGAACCAGGTGGCCAGAGAATCCCTCCTATGACTCCGGTATAAGTCCTTGTATGCTAATCTCTTAAGCATTAAGCTCCAAGGACAATGAGGTTCTGACCTGCATCAAATAATCTTAGGAACAAAGCCTTGAGTCTGTTGAACACAGAGACAGAGTTTTGGTCAAACTAGAGATAACATTTAGATCTCAGTTGTGTTTCAGCTTCAGGCCCAGGAAAGCTACAAAATCAGAAAATCAGCTATGCCACAGCTGACAAGCTGCGATGACTAACCAAGCCCCTCCCCAGGCCAACGAATCAGCAGAGGCTATGACTCTGAAAGGACAGATCTGAAAAGCTGATGAATATTCAGTTGAGATCCTCCCCTAAAACCTCCAGATAAAAACCCTTAAGACAAAGGACCCAGCGTGTACTTGTGCACTTGTGCTCTCTCGCTCTCTCTCACACACACACACACACACACACACACGCCCATGCCTTTCCCCACACCCTTCTTTCCATAGGCATGTTCTCTCTGGAGCGCATTTGTGCCTTTTTTCCTGTCCTTTCCCCAGGCGTGTTTCCTTTGCCTTTCTTTCTCCTAAGCTCCAGGAGCCTTTTTGCCTCTATATCTTGTTTCTTGAGTCCACACAGCCCAGCTGGCTCACTTCTTCTACCTCTGTGACTTTCTAAATAAACATTTGCTTGTATTTGAGTCTTGCCTCTGAACTCTTTCTTAGCCAAAACTTAAGGACTGAGTTATAACATCTGGTGTCATTCGCCATTAACATCTCAATGTGGCTCCTTCTGAAAATCCTTGGTTATAAGACTTCTATTCAGCTAGTCTTCAGTTGGGTATTCAGGGTGATTCTTCTACATTTTAGTTGTAATTCCAGTTTGGTCTTGGGAGGAAGTGAGTATAACATCCACCTAATCCGCTACTGTCTTGGATCTCTCCATACCACTACTATTTATAGCACACACAGCACTTTTCTGACCCTCATAATGATCCTGTGACATGTCAGCGAAGATGTTATCTCCACTTGATAGATGAAGAAACTAAGGTGTGTGAACATGCTAGGTCACAGAGTTTTAAAATCTCAGGGCTGGAACTATTATCACGTCTCATTAATTTACGTATCACCAGAATCCAGCATTTAGTGAATACTTAATAAATGTGTAGCAAATGAAGTAACCTAATTTTTCTGGTTCCTAGCTTCTAGCGTTCCTTTTATCAGCAGCTGTACTAATTCTTCAAATGCTAGGATAGGTTTGTAGCTGAGTCAAATAAAATTACTAACCCCAAACCAACAATGTTATTTAATTGATACAATTTGGGTTACTTACTTGATGCACCCAGACCTGCTAGGTTGAAAATATAAATGGAATTTCTTTTTTAGCTTACTATCTTTTCACTTAAAAACTTTATAGGAATATATGTAAAATAACCCTATGGGATAGAATAGTAAGAAAAAAAACCTATAGACACGTATATATTAATGTAATTAGCCTAAAGTAAATACTCAAATTTTGTTGAAATTATGACATTTTTAAATAATCAAAAATTGCTCACCTGTGGTGCAAGAAGAGGTAGCCTAATATAAGCCAAAAGTTTACTGAGCTCTTTCCGTCTCTGTTCCAGATCATGACGGACCCAGGTAAGGAGCGCATTCAAGATCGTTTCTTCGTTAGGAATGTTCATGTCATCGCTGGCCAAGAGCTTTGCAATTTCACTGGCTGGTAATAATACAAATTCCTGGTTTCGGATGACTTCCATGAAATGTTCCTAGAGAGAAAGTAAATATCATATAAACAATACTCTTTTTTTCTGTCCATCAGTTTATTTAAAAGAAACTAAACATTTCTGAATTAGATGTCAAAACCCAGTTTATACTTTAGAACTTCCTTACAATGGATTACTGCTTGCTAGGAAAGAAACACAGTAGGAAAAAACATTTAAACTACAACCACATTGTTAAACTTTCTATTTCACATATTAAGTAGAATTAAAGTGTTGCATCATTTATTACATTTTAAAAATGGACATGGCCTTTTAGGTATTGCTTTGTTCAAGTTAGGGATTAATTTTGGCATGCCTTTCAAAGGAAGATTAAAAAATTAGGTACTGAGATGTATGATGTTCTACCACTAAAAGCTAGTTTAGATTTGTGGATACTGTAGCATTTGGCCGACAGTGGGGCCAAATGCCTGGGTGAGCTGTGAAGCTAACTCAGAAATGGCCTCCAGCTGGCCGGGTTTCCCAAGGCCATTGTGCACCACAGACGTCTTCTCAGACTCTGCTCGGGGAAGAGTGCGTGTCCTTAGGGCTATCCTAAAACCAAACTGGCCTTTAAGAGTGTTTTAATGTTACTTTTTGGATCACACAGGATTTTGAAACTCTTAATTTCCTCTGATTGATGTACAAAGTTCTATTGGTCTCATAGGAAAAAAAGCTAAAGTAAAAGTATGGAACTAGAATGCACCGGGGCTCCAGGACCTTATACTGAAGATGATTCAGTCCAGGCTGCATAGTAGAATCTTGTGACTTTTAATTTGAAATGAGAAATAGAAATGCCCTTGGATGTGAGAGTGACTTTTCCTAGGCTATTATGCTAAGCAATCTAAAAAAGAAGGGAAATTTACTCTCTGGTATACAAGATTACAAGGTTTAATGCATGGGTTCATTACATAGTTATAGTATAAATGCAAATGCTAGACATATTGTCCCTTGATGTTTCTTATACTTCCTACTGTGCTATGCTTCTCTCAGCATACAGAATTTCAGTAAAATAGCTGAGGCTGTTTGAATTAGAGCTATAGATAAAGACTATCATAACTATCTTCTATATTAAAATGAGAATTATATTTTCCATACAGCCTGAAGTAACCCTAGTTAGGTACTGATCTAAAATATATCGGGTTGACATTTTTTTCTGTAGAAATCCTTAAGAGGAAAACCATACATGAATAATTAACTAAATTCAATTGCCTCAATTCATCATGATTTGTTAAAGATGCCAAAATGAATCTATTTTAAATGACTGATTATCCTTTTCAGAACTATATTTTAATAAAACCTCACGCTGGAATGGCTTCAAGCAAACTGTTCTATGCCATTGTATACTGATATTATAAAATGATTTGGTAGCACAGAGCAAGAGCTATAAAAATGCTGAAGCTCTCAACTCAGTTATCCTACAAGTAGTTTAATCCTCAATAAATAATTCACAAGAGGAAAAAACAGCTGGTGCTTTTCTAATGATGCTTATCTGTATTATTATTTATAATCGTAAAAAATGAGAAATACCCTAAATGTCCAGCTATAGCGAGTTGTAACTCAACGGACTATTAAGTAGGCATTAAAAAATTTAAGAACAAAGATTATATAGATACATGGAAAAATGTTTATTCTAAAATGTTAGGTGAGATTTTGAAAACATGGAACATACACTTCTAATTGCTCAAAGGTATAGGGTACGGTATAGCCAACATTTATACAACACTGATATAATTGTTGCCATACTTTCATATGGTACTCATTGCATTTCATCAATGAGAAAAACCTATTATATAAATATTTACTTGATTGTTTATTTGAGATATCTATTTTAGAACAATGCCCTTTCCATTCTAGTATAATTTGTATTTAGTGAAAATTGAGTTTTTTAGAACTTATGGAAATACTACTGAATTTAAGGTCACACACAAAGTGCTTTTCAAGAGTATTTGGTTTTGCCCTGGCTGGTGTGTCTCAGTGGATTGAGCACTGGCCTGGGAACCAAAAGGTCGCCGGTTTGATTCCCAGTCAGGGTACATGCCTGGGTTGCGGGCCAAGTCCCCTTCAGGGGGCACATGAGAGGCAACCACACATTGATGTTTCTCTCCCTCTTTTCCTCCTTCCCTTTCTCTCCTCTAACAATAAATAAAATTTTTAAAAAGTATTTGGATTTGAAGCAGGTATTTCAGCAGAATTCAATGTTTTTATAGATTTTCTAGACCATGAAACAAAACTTTAAGGTTTAAAATTAAATGTTTATATTAACTTTATAAATCCATAGTGACATTAAATATCTGTAATGACATAACTAATCTTAGACATTTTTGTAGGGGTTTAGTGACTTGCTTCAGGTCAACTTCAGTGGGAGTCAGGACAAGAACAAAAGTTTCCAGATTTTAGGATAACAGAGAGGACCTCCTCATCCTTTCCTACTTGTATTCATTCAGGATCAGTGACCATCCCAAGTCCAGGCACCGTTTACTGACTGTGACAATTGAATTCACTGTGTGGAATTATGCTTACTTCATATTTTTAATAAACTTTATGATACAAACAGCTATCTTGCTACCAAACACTTGCTGGCATTATGCCCCTCTCCCCTTTGGAATAGTTTTTAAGCAAATGAAATTACTGAGGGATTTATTTAAATTGAAGATTGAATTCTGTTATACATTTTCATTCAGTTCCCATAGCAACAATTCAAATCACACAATCTACCTCTAAATTACTTATTGTTATTAGAATTCAATTTTATGTCTTTGTTGCAACTGAATAATGTCAAATAATGGCTTGAGGGAAAAACCCCTACTACAACCAATTGGCTACCAAAAGAGGTTTAAAAACATCAAGCTAATTTAAATTTATGTCTAAGTCTTAAAAAAGCAGTACCTCTACTGTAAACAACAGGAATGACCTAAATGCATACAAATGTTTCCATATAAATAAAACTCTTTCTTAGAAAAGAATTACTTAAATTATGAACTGATTATAAAGGTAATAAATATCCAGCTTTGTTTTATTCATATTCATGTTATTCTAAAAAGTGTTTGCCCTTGAAATGAGAACTCTGCAAGGTTAAAATGAGAACCCTGCAGGAAGAATAGAGAAGGGAGGGGAGAAAGTCTTTCAAAGAAATTAATTTAAAGGATGTCGACCTACTACCATGCTAGGTCTGTACAGTATTGCCCTATCCTGCCTCCTCTTATTTTTTCACTTGAAGCACTGTGACCATCACAAACAAGAACATTTCTGAAAAATAATTACACCACAGGGGGAGAAAAATGAATCATAAAGGTTGTGCTTTTGCATGAGTGCTTTTGTTCATTCACATAAATCCCTAACATGTTGAAGAGACTAAATCTATATAATGACGGTGACAATGATGCTATCATTTATTGACTGGTTATAATACGTGTCAATCACTGTTTCAAGTGCTAAACTTCTTTTAACTCATTTAATCCTCACATTAAGCTTATAAAGGAGGTGGAATTAATCTTCCCAATAGTTGTAAATATTTATTCTTATAATTTTTCCAGGTTTCTTTTGCTCTAGTGAAAGACTCCTAAAGTACTTGTCAATCCCTTGAAGACAAAATAACTCAACAGAAGGATGGAGGATGGAGGATGGAGGAGAGGGTAGACAAAAACATCTCCTAAAAGCTGATAAAATTAGTAAATGCATAACTGTATGTATATGTGTATGTGAATGTTCACACTCTTTCTTCCCTTAGACGTTGTATTACCTTAAATGAAGCATTTAAGGCAAGAGTCTTCAATCACTGTCCAGAAGTAAAGACCCACATGAGGACAGATGGCTATTCCTTAAAAATCCACACACCTCCCCTGCCCCAAATCCCTCTACTGTTAAGACCATGGAGGTTAGTCCTAGCAATGGACCCTCAGCATGCGCTCATTTTCTTGCTGTCCTAAGTCAATCTGTGCCTATTATTCTCCAGGCTTCTGAATCAGAGCCCACTCTGTGATTTATTTTGAGCGTACAATTTGCTACACTTAATAACATCTTTCCGTATACCTAAAAACACTTCTTACATAAGAGGTTAGTCTGTGATAAAGAGCCTCCCCTTCAGCCTCCAGTGTCCTGTTCTAGCGCTGCACTAATACTCTACAGTCGCAGTCACCAACTTCCAAAGTGAATGTGGGGACGATTCTGAAATTCATCCACTTGCTATAAAGTAAAATGTTTCCTGAAAATTCTGCTTTAAAAGACATCAGATCTGAAAGTCTTAAATGGAACAGTCCTAGGCCACTGTTCTTAGTGACTGTGAAAAATGTAAGGCTTGACTCATATATCCAGGAGATATATTACTTGGTGTTTTCCCTTCATAACTTAATGACACAGAACATGCTAGACAGTGAACCTGAACCTCTAGACGGAGTTGTGGGAAAACAGCAACATGTAGATAAGCCTGCAACAATAACGAATAAGGCAAGGAACATAGGCTTTCTTGCTTTTCAAGAAATACATACCATAGTATAATTGTGAGCCACTTTATGCAAATCTGTACAACCTTGGGCATCAGCAAAAGAACGGATTCCAAGGCAGTTGGACGGGTGAAGCTGTTTCATTAGGAACTTACAGCATGCTTCCACAACCTGTGAAAGCTGGAGAAGGCAAGCCGTAGACAACAGGCTCTCAATGTTATCTTCTTTCAGTTCAAGGCGGCCTTAATGATAAAAATAAATTCCATTAACTATGGAATTGTATTAACCTCAGTTTATAAACTAATTGGTGTTAATAGTAATAATTCTAAATAATACCTCATTATATGCATTTCAGGCCTAGATGATTTAATACATTCTAAAAAGAAAAAAATAGTACTAACTATAAAAAATTCACTCTTTGTTACTCCTGCTAAAATAAAAACCTAGTAGCTCATTTTCAGAATTTTTAAAGGATGATTTAATCAGTAAATATCTATTTTACATAATTCAAATTAAATGCAATAATTTAAACACTCAGAATTGATTTAATAACTATATTAACATTTTAAAATATCATTCTAAAGCTTAATTATGATAACCGCTTTAAAGGTTCTAATACACAGATCTTAACTTAAACAGGTATCACCAAGGGCGGTGATTATAGTAGCAGAATTAACTGTTAGCTATTGCAGGCTTTATTAAAAGCAGAAATCTGAATCTAATAATACAACATAAATCTAAGAGGTTTTAAATTTTTACTACCTGTATATGCATACTGAATCAGGGACCATAGTGAATTCGGTTCTACACCTTCCATTTTTATTTCTTCTTGTCTCGCTTCCCTAACATCATTAGTAAACATGGCAGCAAAATAATCTGAGACAGAGGAGAGCACCAATCTGAGAACATTAGAAGACAAGGAAAATCAATGACCATACTAAAGTTGATCTTCATTAATAAATGCTCCTTTTACACAGTTCTGTATTTGTAAAATAATTTATAATGTGAACTGAAACAAAAAGTGTTGCCCCAGGAAAGTACACACTGTGTGCTGAGAATCACATGAAACATACTCTAAGTGGGATGAAAAACAATAAATCCTGCTTTTTTTCTCTCTCTCCAACTTTGTTACCCATAAAAAGTGCATGGTACTGGGAAATGCATTTTAAGTTTGACAAATTGCTTTATGCTCTAGTTCCTCCCTTTGAATAATAAATTATCATTACTGAAAATTTTCTGCTGAGGTAAATGATTTATTCTTTCATTACTCAAATATCAATTTCTAACATCTAGGGGGGAAAAAGCTACAAGCCCACAGCATTAAGCTGATTATATATCAAAAAAAAGGGGAAAAATATAAAAGTTGTTTTCCCTTTATCACTTTAAAAATAATCTAAGTATTTTTAATAATATAGTGAATATGTGGGAGACATTTGAATATGGTTTTAGCAAACTTTTTAACTTTTATGATACGTATTATTGTAGTATATTATATTTTGTAATAAAGTTAAAATATTTTTGTTATAACACTACAAAACAATAATATTTTGTTATAATAATACAATATTTTATATTGGCTATGTTTCTGTCCAGATTTTTGATAGTTACATATAAGTAAAATAGGTTATAAATACATATTTTTAAAACATGCATTTTTTATTTCATAATATGTTTTGAAGATACTTCCATGTCAGCACATTTATATAGATTTATTTTATTCATTTTTTAAAGAAATAGAGATTATGATACAAATAATAGTTGGAATTCTCTCTGTGTTCCTCTCTCATTTCATTTTCCTCCCTCCCCAAGAATGCATTGCTGAGTCCTAAGGTGTGCAAAATGTTTTCCAAGGTGCTGTGCCTATTTAGACCCCTACCAGAATTGTACAAGAGTTAATTTAATATTTCCCCAGAATACTGTCAGATGTTATAATTTTTGGCTATTTGCAGGATATTAAATGGTATCTCATTGTTTAGTTCACCTGACTGCTGGTGGGGTTGAAGATCTTTTCAAATATTTATTGGCCATCCAGTTTTCTTTTTATCCACTGAGCAAATGTTAATGCATATCTAGTAAGTAATGGGTACTATTTTAGATACTTGAGATATTATCAGTGCAAAAAAATAGACAAAAGATCCCTTCTCCCACTGAGTCTTACATTCCAAAGAGAAGAGAGACAAACACTATTCAGCAGAAGTAAACTCTATAGTACATTTAAAGGGGATTCAGTCCCATGGGGAAAAATGTCGGGCAAAGGCAAATGTGGAGTGGGAGGTGGGTTTAACTAGAGACTAGTGGAACGGTCTCACTGGAAGGAGACAACTGAGCAAAGAATTGAAGGAGGTGCAGGAATCAGTCATACAGGGATCTGGGAACAGCATTTGGGCAGAAGAGCAGCCAATGCAAAAGTCCAAAGGCAGGAGCAGCATGCGTGGCACACACAAGGAGCAAGGGGTCTGTGTGGCCCCGAGTGAGCAAGGAGAGCCGCAGGACAGAACATCACAGAGGGAATGACAGGCTGGATCCCACAGCCACTGTGAGGACTTGGGCTTTCACACTCAGTGACACAAGCAGTCACGGAAAAGTTTGATGAGAGGAGTGACCAAATCAATTCTGTTTTCAAGAATCACATAGGGTGCTGTGTAGAAAACAGGATGCAGGGGAAAGGAATCAACGAAAGGAGACTGGTTAGGAGTTTCTTGCATTGGTAACCTAAGCGGCGTGGCGATGGCTCACGTCAGAGTGACAGGTAAGGTGATGAGCTCTGTTTTGGAAATACAGAATTTGAGATGCTCCTATGAAATTTAGGCTGAAGTATCTTTTTTAATAAACTGATGCTCATAACATGGACTTTTTGTCACAGTATGTAGTTGCATCTCGTGCTAATTAAGTTACTGAAAACTGTAAGACCAAGGCCATTCTTCCTGATTTTACTTCCACTTTGGAGGGTTTAACAAAGCCTTTGGGACAGAGTGTTAATTAATTTTGAAAGACATAACAAAACCTTTGGGATCATAATGGTGATTAACATTGAACAACTGAATATGGAATTATCAGAAGTAAAATAATGTCTTGTTTTTTATTTAATAGCTTTTTAAAATTTTTGCGTGGAAGTCTTTTGTTCCCGAGCACCACTGCTTTTCATATTTCTTGGGGGTCAGCAAACAGAAGTTGAGAAAACTGTGGTTATTTGAGAATTCTTAACAGTTTTTGCCACTCCATTCCACCATCCTTTTTTTGCCTCTAAATACCCATAGCTTTAATTTCCACTGAGTTTATTTAAAGTTATTTAATATGTAGAATTACATAGGGTGAAAACTGCTTATAGTAACTGAAATCTATGCCAAATAATACTGACTGATCTGAGGCTAGCGTGTTATGTTTGTCATTCTACAGAAGGAAAGTGACCCTTTTGGGGTCACTGAATGTGTAGTAATTTCATATGTACTGTTTCTTTGCAGAAACTCCATGAACTATACCCCTCCCTCAAAACATTCTGTCCTAATAAGCAATTGAATAAGTTACCTCAAATACACACAGCTAAATTACCAAGGAAATATTTCACACATATAGACATTTAGAAAACAATTACCTATGAGCTGGAATTCTGCGATCGCCAGCAACTAGAATTACATCACATAACTGTTTATGTCTCAGATAGTTTTCCATCTTTTTAAAGGTTTGCTCAGCATGATTAAGGGCTTGGAAAAATTCATCTGATGAACATGGCTCCATAGTATGACAGGATGATAATGTCTGACTACTATTGGAAGTCCTGAAAGAAAAGAGATCAGACATTTTCACATCTCTATTACATTGAGAAGATCTTTCCTATCAAGTCCCTTTCAAGCCTTTAACTGTAATAGAAGTAATCAATGCTGCCAGCCAATGTTAATGTATAATCAGTCATCATTTTTGTCTTTTAAAATCAATGCTGGCTCAAATCATACATGTGTCTTGCAAACACTGTAAATGAACGTGACATCTGTTAGTTAATAACTACACATACTCTTTTGACGTCTCTTCTCTAGTCAACACAACATCTCTGCTGAAAAAGAGCCAAGCTATATTCATATTAATAACCATATCTCCTAACATTATATTTAATTGTGTAAAAGGTCATTTTTGGAAGCCAGAAAGGCAGCTATAAATCCAAGTCATCCTTTACTTAAAAATGGGTTAGGTTTCAAGCTTACTTATAAGATATGTAAAACAGGAAATATATTGTCATTAAAAAACTGTGTTATACATAATTCATTTCATTCTCTGGTCAGTCTTCAAAAGCCCAGATAAACTATAACTTATAGGTTAAAGGACTTTGATGGCCTAATATAAAAATTATTTGAAATTTACAAATTAGAATTTGAAAAGTATGAGTTCTGTCTTTATATGATTTACTGACACTAAAAAATTAAAAAAATTAGGACTAAGAATGAACTCATAAATTATTACCCTCCCCCACCCTTGGAGATCTTTTCTCCAAGATCACTTGAATTAACTAATCAACATCTGTTGGCTATGCAATTAACTATAAAAGTACCAACTGTGCCATAACTTAGTTCTCATTTCTCATCAGATTAACTTTTAAGGATATTATGATTCTGATAAATGCTTTATTGAGCCAAGCCTCACTGTATCTTAAGAGAATTTTCTTAATACAAACACCTAATAACCTTATAACAAGAAGTCATTGGATCTTTTACTTTTCAAGGAAAGGGAACTGAAGGCAAGGGGATTAAGAACCTTGCCAGGAGCTACAGAGTTCATTCATGGCAGAAAAAGGGTCCTCATCGAGACTGCTATGCGTTCACCAAAACAGCTTTCTCTTTTCCTTCTTGGAATATAGCCAGGCTATATTTCCCAGTGTTTCTCGCAGATCGATGTGGTCTTATGGTGGAATGAACTGCATCACCTCAAGGCTAAGGTGGCTAAGAGCAGGTATGCCTTTTCCATCCTTTCCTTCTCTATTCCCGAGTTGAATGGAGGGGACTGAGGACTTAGATGAAGGAAGAGGTAAAATACACATATGGAAGGTCACTCAAGCAAGAGCACTCACACAGACTGTGCTCACAAGAACTCTCACATCACATTGAGGTTTATCATTTTTGGAAGTTGGCGGTGTTGTGACCAATAGATGTCTATACCTGAGTCCTCACAGCCTCGGGCATTTTCAATGGCAAACAAAAACAGACCTTAGAAAAAGTTCTTGGAAGATAACTGTCAGTAATGATAATAGAAGCAAAATATATATTATCTAGAAAGGATGTATTGTATACTATGAGTATTATTAGTGTAATGACTTGGAAAGTCTGGTATAACATACTCAACTTACATTTAAAATCATTAACATAAAAATGTATTGAGTACTGTATAACTATATGTTGCCTGTATATATAAATGAGGAAGGAACAAAGTCATCTGATAGACTTAAGAACTACATAGCTTTCTAGCATTTCTTGTTTCACTATTTAAAAATTTGGGACTCTGCATATACATTTTAAGAATGTAAAAACTTACAAAATTAATTTACTGCATATCCATTCAACTATAGGACCTTAGGCATTCAAAAAATTATGAACAGAATTTTTACATCTAGAAGGAACATATGCAATCATTTAATTCAACTCCCTTCTTTTGCAGATGAGAAAATTTGAGGCCTCAAGTCGCTAAAAGGATCAAAGACACATAGGCAGCTGGTTACAAAGCCAGAACCAGGAGACATTCAGAGTATTGGCCAACCATTCACAAAGGAATGGAAATTCTTGCTTAACTTTACCCACAGGCATCAATGAGCACAAGGGCATAAAGGGAAAATAATGGTACACTATGAATGAGGATAACTGAACAGGAAAAAAAGACATTAGAATTAATGATCTTACACAAAAATCTATTGCTCTATGACTGCCCCTTAACTCGGTATAAGAGCACAAGAGTTGTTTAGGTTTCCATGGGACAGAGGTCAAGCTGCTTCAATACTTTAGCTCTGTATAATTGACAACGGTAATACCTCCTTATTATTTCTCCTCCTTATGTACTTTGGCCTGGAGGGTTGAATTGGACAGGTATGATGTGTAATTAAGAGCATTTTAGGAAGGTTCTAGAACTGTGTTAATACAGTAGCTACTAACCCCATGGGGTTATTTTAGCTAAAATTAACTAAAATAAAAAATTCAGTTCTTTAGCTGGACTAGTCATATTTCAAATGCTCAACGGCCCCAATGGGGCTGGCTAGTGGCTGCCAAACTGGATGGTGCAGATACAGAACACTCTGTCAATGCGGAACGCTCCATTCTATAGTGCTCATTCAAACTCCTTGTCACTGTGTATCACTCTGCACAAATTATTTAATTCCTTTAAGCTTTACCTTTTTTAGTAGCAGAACAAAAATAAGTAATACATAGTACTTTCTTTCAAAGGATCCCTCATTGGAGGATTATTAAGTGAAATAATGAATGCATAGCCCTAGCACAAAATAAGTAAACAATCTAAGTAAGCTACTGTTAGTAGAATTGTGCTTTTTATGGCCAATGAGAAGGCCTGTATTCTCAATCTCTTGTCTTTATATAATGTTGATTAGTTGGTTGTCTTTAAAAAAAAATTATTTATTGATCTTAAAGGGCAGGGGGATGAATGAAAAGAGAGAGAGAGAAACATCGATCTGTTGCTCCATCTGTTTATGCGCTCATTGGTTAATTCTTATATATGCCCTGACTGAGGGTCAAACCCGCAGCATTGGTGAATCGGGACAACACTCCAACCAACTGAGACACCTGGCCAAGGCTAATTGGTTGCCTGTTTAAAAAATGACCCCAGCATTATCAATTTTTATAACTAAATTTCATACTTCCTAATTAAAATGGCCTTAGTTAACCCAGCAGACAACCTAACCCACAATACAAACACCTGGGGATAGGCCACTTATGGAGCATTGAAAATCTATTTCTCTGTGATTTCTACAAATAGCAGGTGAGACTTGGAATATGTCTTAGAATTTAGATGAGCGAGGAGAAGAGGCATTGGGACTGTCCCTTCAAGGAGAGGACAAGGCAGTTGTGTAGAGAAATGACAATATACAAGGAAAAATAATACCGTCACCTTTTCTCTTCTCAGGACAAATATTTTCCGATTTTGGAATTTAATAGTTTTTTTTTCCTGGTCCTCTGGCTAGAATATCTGTGGTAATCAGAAGAAATGTTGTTTATAAGAATCACATTTTCTTAAATAATAACGTGGGTGAAGAGGAAGGGCCAGTGGATACTCTCATGCAATACTGGCGAGAATTAAAATAGTAGTGATATTCCTGATAGGACTTTGAGAATACAAATTAAAAACCCTAAAAATGTGCATTCCCTTAGGACTTTATCCAGGGAAAGAATCATCTTTTCGTATAGAGATCTAGCTGCAGAGACGGTTCATCGCGGGTTGTTTCTGACAGCAAAGTATTAAAAACCACCTAAGTTCCAAAAAAAAAGAATATTGGTTAAACAAACAAAAATTATATCTGTGCATAGGAGAATGATGCAACCATTTCAAAAGATGTAGGAGAATTATCTAACGACACAGAAAGCTGTGCTAGAAGCATTAACTGTTTGTGCCCACTCAGAATTCCTCCTATGGTAACAGGCCCAGCTCTACTGTTTGAGAAACCGCACATTTCCTGCCTCAGTCCACATGGTTTGGGGCAGAGCTGACTCTTCCCCGTGCAGAGGAGAGCAAGGAACTAAGGCCTGGTCAATGAGAGTATCATATCTCCTGGCAATCAGAACCAATTTCAGCATGTTTGTTGTTATTCTTTAAAAAGTCACTCTCTTTACATTGAGGTTGCTAAGCTGATAAATAGAAAACTTAATGCTGTTAGTGGCTTTATTGCTACTGCATGAGAAAATGTCATCACGGAGGAAAATGGAATAGAGAGAGAGAGAGAGAGAGAGAGAGAGATTTCCAGAGTTATTTGAGTAACAGGATCCAGCCATGTCTAAAGCTAGGCTCTATTTTTGGACTTTTTATTTACTTATGTGAACCAAAAACTTCTAGCTTTTGCCTAAGTCAGTTTGAGTTTGGCTTCTGTCTTTTGGGACTAGAGTCCTAATTTTAATATTTATATTAGAGCAAAGAAAGCAGGTTGCAAGACAGTATGTACAATGAGATTGAGATTTTTATTCTAAAAACATACTTTTTATTATATACGTAGAGAAAATATACTGGAAAGACATTTCCCCAAATTGTTAATGGTTACTTTGAGGTGGCAGGGTAATCAGTGATTTGTACTTTTTTTATTTTTGCTTGTTTCTGTTTTCCAATGTCTCTATGATAAAAATATAATACGGGAAAAAATCTAATTGAAAAATTAGATGCAAAGAATTCTTGACAGTCCTATTCAGCTGTCTTCACCTCTTGCATTCCGTTGATTGTAACCCCAAACCATTCTTCATTTGTACCACGGTAATGAGTTTTAGCTGGACACATTTTGCTGGACACACCTACTTACATAAGTAGAAACTACATTTCTGAACTTCTCTTGCAGCTGGCTGTGGCCATGTGACTAGGTTTTCAACAATAGAATATGAGCAGAACTGATATATCCAACTTGTGTTACCTGCTTAATGTCCTCCTTTTCTTTCTTTGGTCTTTTCTGTAAGCTGGAATGCAGAGGGGGTGCTGAGTAAGCTTTGACCATAAAGAAAGGATAACACCTTACAGGTTGGAGACCGATATGGAAGGAATCTGGGTCTCTGAGTGAACTTGTGAAGCAGAGCTAATATATTCTTATTCTGT